TTGGATTGGATTTGGCAATATCTAGTGAGGAGCATAGATGTTGTTAGCATCCTCGTCTGTACCCACCCGACCATGGCAATAGTAGTTGGTTAGTTATTGCCCCATAATAACCTTATAAGAATAGGTTAATTATTTGGGAAAAGCATTATTTAAATTTTAGGCGACGGACCGAATAAATATAGCTTAGCTATTCATATTTCCAAAATTCATAATTATATTCATTTATTCAAAACCAAAAACAGTTACATAATTACTTCATTATTAACAACAACAAAAAAGTTATAAACCCTAGACTGATTGTATATACAATAGAAAACCAAGAGAAAAAACAAGTAAAAAAGCTAAAGTCGGGTGTCCCGACTTTGAAATACTCTGTACATATGTTTACAATAATTATAGAAAATAAAAAAAAAAAAAAATAAAAAAAAAATTGGATCGATTTTACGTAAAGGGTGTATAATTGCACATTTACATAGCAATTGCGTCTGTGTGAGTGTATGTATGCCTATGCGCATCAATTCGTGTCTGTGTAAGCATTTTCGCAGTCAACCAAACAGCAACATCAACAACAGCCGCGGGCAGCGCTTGAGCAGCGCTGCAGCAGCAAATATATTTATGGCTATAACTTCTTGGTAAATAAGTCTATCATAGTGAAACTTGGCATACGGACACATAATTACTAACTGGGGGTATTTGCAAAATTTTAGTTCGAAATTCCAAGAATTACGGGAGTTAGAGAGGGGGAGAGGGGGGAGGGAGGGAAATTCCAAAATGCACAATTTCTGCGTATTCACATAAGGCATCTTGGACTAAAATTTGGTGTGCCTAGGTCTTATAGTCTCCGAGATATAGGCGATTATACGAATGGAAAATCGGGAAAACCCCCATAGGGGGGAAGTGGGGGGGAAAATCAAAAAAATAAAACAAACTCGTATAGAATACACACATAACGCATCTTTGTGCAAAATTTTGTGTCTCTATCTCTTATAGTCTCTGAGATCCAGGTGTTCATACGGACGGACAGACGGACAGACAGACAGACAGGGCTAGATCGACTCGTCTCGTCATGCTGATCAAGAATATATATACTTTGTGGGGTCTGCCACGCCTCCTTCTGCCTGTTACATTTTTCAGCTCCCGCAAACCTAATATACTCTTGTACATTTCATGTACAGAGTATAATTATTAATTTGCATTAGAAATTCATCAAATTTATATATATATATTCCTAATGCATGAATATCATTGTTAACTAATTGGATTTATGTGGCCTTGCATATCCAATCAAGTAGATGGATTGTACATGTTTTTGTTGTTTTTAAAGAAAAAAAAAAGAAGAAAATTAAGTATACATTTTAAACTAATCAATTATCATAGATTTTGTAAGTTTTAATGGAAATATTTAATCAAATAAATGTGCTGGATTGAGCTATTTAACTATTATTGAATAGGCAACCGTCGTAGTAAGACGACCGTTTGTATTTTGCAATCACATTAAGTGTCATAGAAGAAAATGGCCAAAGTTAATAAAATTTAAATGAACATAGGCTCGTTATTCAAAAGAACGTTTCACTATCTGTACTATTCCTTGCAAATTTGCTGGTTTAGTCATAGGCACTTCTGGTATTGCCGAGAAAGTAAAGTGGTGTAGCTGCTGGATCTGCGGTGCGGTGTATTAAAGTTGTTGCGTTGTTTCAGCACGGAATTATAGCCGCAGCAGGTTGGCCCTGAGCACCATACCTGCCGCTCGGGGTTATGAAACTCGATCTCTAAACAAACAAAAAAATGACTTTAAAAACAGAACGAAGCTAACCATATTGATTTACCTGGTGTAAATACAACTCTGCTTCCTTTAATAAATTAAACAATCTTTCCAGCGAAGATAAGGGGTGGAATATTAATCCGCAGAAATCCAAGCAATCTCGAAATCTCTTTATACAATTTTATGCACTTTTGGCAATAATAATTAATAAATGTTGCACGTGGGCACTTTACAAAATTTTTAATAGAGATTTGGCAAGAAGTATGACCGTCCACATTCAGCCGATCTCAAGCAATGAATCTAATGCTCAGCTTGACCTTATTAAAACGCTTTGGAAGGCCACGTGCTTGCACGTATGCATACCTTGAGAGTGATAAGCTGCATTTGCTAAAAGCTCTCTCTCTCTTATCCAAGGTGACCGAAGAGATCAGAAGAGTTTATTAGGAGAGCGAAAACGGAGTTTTGTTTTCTTCTTCTTCTTTTCTTATCTTCTTTATCGCCAAATACACTCGAGGACAAAATAAATATTCCAGTCTAAACTGAATACCACACCGTAATGCATTTACAAAAACGATGGAGAAGCAGAATCTTTGTACAAGAGTAGCACGATGGATAATGGTTTTGCAAGAGTATTCCTATGACATTGAACATCGTTCTGGTTCACGAATGAGACACGTAGACACACTGTCGCGATACCCAATTATGAGAATAGTTGACGAGAGTATGATAAATGGCATGAAGCAGGCACAAATGCAAGACGAGCATTTGAAGACCATCATAAAGATTATCAGCGATGCTGCATACCATGCATCCTTGTAAATCAAAAGCGCAGCAAGCAGGAGTGTTTTTTGCATCCCTTGCAAAGAGACCATTGCAAATAAAAATTACAAACACATACTGGCTGTAATTGACGCATTCACGAAGTTCTGTTGGCTTTACCCAACAAAATCGACGACAGCTAAAGAAGTCATCACGAAGTTACACAACCAAAGCACAGTGTTTGGAAATCCAGCCTGTATTATATCCGAAAGAGGCTTAGCTTTTACCTCTCTTGATTTTTTACAGTACTGCGAAGACGAGAACATCAAACTTATCAAGGCGACCACAGGACTACCCCGAGTCAATGGCCAAGTGGAGCGACTCAATGCTGTAATCATCTCGGTGCTTGCCAAACTCAACATAGATGACCCTGCAAAATGGTACAAGCACACCGATCGAGTCCAGCGCGCCATAAACTGAACGTTTACCAGAAGTATTGACAGCACACCGTTTGACCTGTTAATGGGTGTTAAGATGCGCAACAAAGAAGACCAGGATCTACAACATTTGATCAAGAATGAGTTGATTGATTCATTTAACGACGACCACAATGAACTACGAGCGAAAGCAAAACTGCAAATTCAGAAATTGCAAGCTAAAAACAAGAAAAATTATAATCGAAAAAATTAAAACAAACTCGTATAGCGTACACACATAAGGCATCTTTGTGCAAAATTTTTCTCTAGCTCTTATAGTTTTTGAGATCCAGGTGTTCATACGGACGGACAGACGGACAGACAGACAGACAGGGCTAGATCGACTCGTCATGCTGATGCTGATTAAGAATACTTTGTGGGGTCTGTCACGCCTCCTTCTGCCTGTTCCATTTCTCACCTCCCGCAAACCTAATATACTCCTGTACATTTAATGTACAGAGTATAAAAAGCAGAGAGTAATAGCTATTTGCCAAACAGGGAACCACCCCAACCGATGGAAATTGACAGTTCCTCCCGGTTTAGACAATCAAAATCAGGCCACAAAAAGATCAAATAGTGGGACTACTAGGTATAGGGGTCCGAAGCCACAATGGGTACATTTAATTTTTTAGACATAAGCTCCCTGCTACCGTTTGTGGAGCGAACGAAAGTTGGTAAATCAATTAAATTACTTAATAACACGGGTGCTTCAAAGAGCTATATAAAGCCACTTACAGAGCTAAAACACAGTAGATAAACATTTCTTAGTTAAGTCACTTCATGGCATTAACTCTATCCAGAAAAAGTGTTTCATGCACCTTTTCAACAACACTGCTACATTCTTTTTACTCCCTAATCTGACAACATTTGATGGAATAATAGGACTTGACCTACTAAATAGAGTAAATGCCTCGCTGGATTTTAAAAATAAAATTTTGAAAACTGAGTCCGGACCCGAAATAATCCAATTTATGAAATGCACGGACGTAAACTTTGCAGAAATAGAAGGCATAAATGTACCTTAGTACGTGCAAAAAGAATTCAAATCGGGATTTCATAAAATACTACTTGCGAAAAAGAATAGAGAAAAAACTGTCTTCTCTGTAGCGAACGGGAAGTATGAATTTAGCAGATTTTCTTTCGGATTGAAAAACGCCTTCAGTATTTTTCAGAGAGATGTTGATGATGTGGTTCGAGAACAAATTGGAAAGTCATGCTATGTTTATGTGGATGATTATATAATTTTCTCGAGAAGCATGGAAGACCACATAAGCATATCGCGTGGGTGTTGCATAAGCTCTATTCAGGGGTTTCAGTGGCCTTCAGTGGGTAAAATACAATTAAACTTAAACTCTAAGCGACTATATGTCGTCGCGGCTGAACTTTGACTACCCTCCATTTCTAACATTCTTCTCTTACGTCTATATCTTCTCTTTTCCTTAAAGCTATACCTCGCCGTCCTTCTCTAGTGACGACACCCTGTGTCGGTCACCAGGGCGTCGTTACAAGCTTACATCCAGTTTCAACTGGTCTTTTAATATCTTTATCCACTTTTATTGATGTTGATATCAGAATATCACTATCTTTTATATTTTGTTGTATAAAGCCATCTATATGTAAATATCTACTTTCTGGAAAATATAAATTTACCTTCAGTACTTGAAGCTTCATTGTGCGTTCGATTATTACTCTCCATTTGCGGGCTTGTCGATAATTTGATATCATTGTCTCTTATAGAATGACAATCATTTTCGTGCTTGTTCTCATCTAGAGAAGCTTTTGAAAAAAGTCCACTTAAAAATTAGGGCTAAAAGAATGAATAGTGGAATAAGTACTTACAACTAACTTTTCTGATATCATTTTCCAGTTGGGTATCTCTTTTCGGTAAGTCGATTTTGTTCTCAATCGTATTCCTTCTTATTTCTTCGGAATCTCCTACAGTCGTTACTGTAGAATTAAATTATTACAATTTTTAAAATCATACTGAACATCTAGTATGCTTGTTAACAAATATTTGACTTACGATTGATATAATCGGATGTAATGTTGACACTTTCCATTTCAATACCTTTTGGTTGATGAACTTCTTTGCTTTGCGTTATAGTCCCGTCTGCAATTTTTGTTTCTTCGGTGACGGATTGAATGCACAACAAGTAAAAAATTCCATTAATTAAGAGCCATGAACTTATGTGCAATTTCAATAGGACTTAGAATATCGTTATCAACTTTTATTGTTGTTGTTTGCAAAATAAAAATTTACCTTCAATTTCATGGTATGACCCTTGATCACACTCTATTAGCGAGGTGCCCGATAGTTTAACATCATAATGATAATCATTGTCGAACTTGTTTTCATCTATAGAAGCTTTCGAGCAAAAATTAAAGTTAAAAGTAAATAGAAACCAAATGAAATATATTGTCTCAAAGAATGAATTGTGCAATACTTACAAGTGATTTCTCTGATGTTATTTTTCAGTTCGGTACTTGGATTCGGTAGTTCGATTTGGTTGTTATTCGTATTTCTTATTATTTCAACGGGATCTTCTTCTGTCATTCCTTTATCAGTAGTAGTATCTTTTGTAAACAAACAAATATTTAAACTGATTAATGCCTGATGCCAGACAGAAGGAAAGTATGTATTCTTAATCATAAACATATCTATCCCTACATCCTTCTGTATGTGAGGATGAGTTTGGATTTCGGAAACGGTACTACAGTATTTCGTCCATAAGCTACATAAACAAAACTTTTCACACGCAAATATCCACTTTTGTTTGCAGCATCAAGTAATTTCTTTTTCTTTTTTTTTATTCTGTCGAAAGTCTGTCTGAGTACAGCGTTTTTCTTTGTCGTGCTTGCTCGACTGTTACGTTCTCTCTCTTGTTATTATAATAGTAAACACTTAGAAGACTTTAAAATATTAGTTGCTTTCAGAATTACATGATCTCTATATATATACTACAGTTTGTCCTGACTGACTGACTGATTGGCAATCAACGCATAGCCCAAACGGTAAGAACTAGGTAGCTGAAACTTGGATTGTGTTGGTGAGCACTAAGAAGGGATTTTGGTAAATTCGAGCTTCAAGTGGGGGAAAACGCGCTCCAAAGTTTGTTTGAAAAATCCGCATTTTTCCATCAATCAACTTCAAATTTACGGCATAGTCGGTTTTTCGAAATTTTTGGGTGAGCTGGAATTATTGGGCTTTTTTTTTAAATATTTATTCACTTTTTCAAATGAAAAGTTTGTGTTATAAATTTTGTCCGATCGATTAAAATTGGGGGAATGTAATCTACGTAACTAAATCTGCAACTTTGCATTCAAGGATTTTCAAAATGTACAAATACTGGTTTCGCTTTACAAATGCAGGCAGAATAAGGGAGAACGCTACAGTCGAGCAAGCCCGACAGTGAATTACCCTGTACCCAGACAATTTTCCGTCACTGAGTGATATGCGCCCATACCAGAAGCAAAAAGAGGAATAAGAAGAGCAAACTTGTTGTTGCAGTTTGGTGGCAGGTGGGGGGGGGGGGGGGGGGGGGTGAGGGTTGTATTGGAGAGAATTTGTTTCACTAATAACTTTTCTTAGAATCGACCAAATTGGATATATTGGAAATTTTAAACTAAAGAAGGTAAATGTACATAGATTGCGTGTGCAAAGTTTGGTTTATGTAGCTTTTGAAATGTGGACAGTTTTGACAAAATTCTGTAGCGGGGGAAATTCCGAAAAATAAAATAAACGGACCTAGGAGAATCTCGATACCAACTTTGGTTATTCCAGCTTTTATAGTTTCTGAGATCCTTGCGTTCATCTAGACAGACAGACGGACAGACGGACGGATATGCCTAGATCGATTTATCTCGTCATGCTCATCAAGAATTTATATACTTTATGGGGTCGGAGATGCATCTTTCTCCCTGTTACATACTTCTCACAAACCTAATATAACCTTTCTGCCCTACGGGTACAGGGTATAACAAACAACATAATATGCATATCACACAGTTGGGGACAACTTAGTACATATACACGCACATATACAAGCAGCTGTTCGTGTAGTTGCGTGCAAACGATTGAAATAGCTAAAGCAAATTGTGAGACACTAATGTGTGAATGTATGTACTAGTTCACACATCCGGCTAGTCATAAGTCAGTGACCGCCCGATCATGTAGAATGAGATCGATTTTGGACATGATCATCAATCTGAGCGTATGGCTCGTGCACTCGCACGTAGTCGCGCGTTAGCAACAACAGGGACTGACCCTGTGGTGGCCCCTCGGAAACAAGTGTTTGTATCGAGGTTATCCACTGATACGACTTGCGAATCCTTTAAAACTACTGCTAGCGTTTCAATTTCTAAATTTAATTTTTCCGAGTCTCGCGAAATAGCGTCGTTCAAAATTAGCGTCTCCGTTGAACTGTTTCCAATCATTTGTGACCCTAAATTTTTGCCTCCTAATATGATTATTCATGAGTTCAAACCAAGAAAAAGAACTCAACCAGCTCGTTTCATTGCCTTTTGCCCCTCTTCGCAACCCACCACTAAGAATGCCTCAAAAAACTAGACCATGTTCACGTTCCGCTCTCTCTACATTACCAAAATGTTAAAGGTCTTTTATGTAAGCTTAAAAACTTATTTGAAGACAGTATATCGTTCGAATATGACATTATTTCATTTTCGGATTCAGGGTTAAATGACTCTGTTTATGGCTATGAAATTCTGTCAAATATCTTTACCATTTATATGTAGACGTTCCCGCACAAATCGTCGTGGTGGTGGTGTACTGATCGCAGTCAAATCCACCCTTCGATCTGAAGTAGTGTATGTAAATATGACTGCTAAAGTAGTAAAGTAATTGTTCCTTCACATGCTGTATTTATCACATGTTCTTATATTCCTCTTTCTGTTGATTTTCAAGTTTATATGCACCATATACATTGTAACAGCGAAGTCTCTTGATTCTCTCTTTGAATTGTCTTTGGTTCAAAATAATTCAATTTTTAATAACCTAAATAGACTGCTTGACCTCATTTTTGTAAACGGGGACAAAGATGCTGTAATCTCTTGATTTTCGCCTCTATATATTCCCGAAGATCTGTATCACCCTTCTATTGAAATTTCGATTTCTCTTTACGAAACTAAAGCCTCTCCTTCATTGGCTCAGGTACACGCCGCTGATTTTGGAAAGACGGTTTTAATAAGCTCAACAGACTTATTTCAGAAACTGATTGGTCATTTCTATAGCATCCGTTGACATTGAAATCCCGTCTACTTTTTTCTATGAGACCATTCTCTCCCTTTTCGATGTCTACATTCCCAACAGCGTTATACAATCTTCCTCAATTAAGCTTCCTTGGCTTAATCGGCAATTTTCAAATTTAAAGAATAGGAAATCTAGGTATTAGAAGAAATTCAAGCAAACTGGATCTTGTTTGGACTTTTCAAAATACTCTCTAGCCAAATTGTACTTTCTTCTTCTCAATTCTTAGTATTACACTGAGTGTCTTGAGCGCTGTGAAGCTCAATTTGTTCAAGACCCTAAGCAGTTTTACAAATTTGTGAACTTCAAAAGTAAATCGTCACCTTTGCCTTCTTTATTTTTTCTTCATAATGGAAATGCAAGCAATGATTCGGCTATTGTTGACTTATTCGCTAAGTTTTTTTAGTCAACTTATTCATCTTTTAGTTTCAATGGTGATTCATACCCTTATCTAATTCCTTATTCTAATCATATTTTTTCACCCATAATTAGCAGTTCCTGCATTCTGTGAGGTATTAAGGCAGTCAAATCTTCATAATCTCTTGGGCCAGACAACATTCCCAGTTGTGTGCTCAAAGAGTTTTCTACCTCCCTATGCCAACCATTGCTTAAGCTTTTTTTCCAACTATTTATTTATTCCACTCCACAAAAAAGGATGCAAGGCAGACATTTGAAACTATCGAGGTATCGCTAAGTTGTCCGCCATTCCTAAATTATTTGAAAAAACAAGTAAAAAACCTAAAGTCGGGTGTCCCCCGAATAGACGCGCATAGACATTCATACACTCACATAGATGAAATTGCTCTGTAAATGTGCAATTATACACCCTTTACGTGAGTTCGAATACCGAGAGAGGTAAAATCGATCCAATTTTTTTCTTCTAATTTTCTTAATTTTTTTAATTTCTATAATTATTGTAAACATATGTACAGAGTACTTCAAAGTCGGGACACCCGACTTTAGCTTTTTTACTTGTTATATATAGCGCTTATCGTCAGCTCAAAAATAACCCTATCAATTCGACAATTGTTTTAGTGGCTATTAAACTTTCTTCGTGCTGTAAAAGTGACTAAATTACTAAAATAAAATTTATTTGCAGTGACATTTGTGCTACATTTTGTTGTTGTATACTATTGATGCAACTACATTTGCTCTCTTTCTACAATAACAACAACGCGAAGTTGTGCTCTTCATTATTTCTCTGCCAAGATTTTGTTCAAAAAATTCCGTTACTAACTGTGAAGTGTTGATACTCTAAACGGGTATTAAAATAAACTGTTTCCTTAATTTACGAAATAAAAACTTATTTTTAAAACAACTTAAAAAAATTTATCTACGATCTCCGCATATTTGTGTGGTTGTGCTACATCGGAGAGCGATTTAAATTTTTCACCCTTGAAGCCTACTTTTAGGCCAAAAATATAATATATAAAAAAATTAACTTAAACATTTTTAAAAGGAATATAAAACTTACACAAAACGCAGCCAACGACTGGCATCATGTCTCTATCTTGATCCGCAAGCAAATGTGAATTAGGTGGTAAGATTGTCGGCGACTCTTACCTAATATGTTGGTTGTGTAACAACTTCGCACATATCAAATGCGCTGGTTTTAGCTACAATGGGCGCCTGGATGACATGATTTCCAAAGGACTTGGTTTAACGTGGTTGCGTTGCTTGTCGAGAAATAGAAACTAAAATGTGCACCTTCATGAGGCAAACACGTACTGGGTTCATTGAAGTTCGGAAACAATTTTCGGCCCTAAATGAGAAATTCCTAACTCTTGAGTCGCAATTTCTCGGTCTCAAGCTCCTTAGTGAGTCACCTATGAGGAAAATCGCTAATCGGAAACTCTTGCAGTCCAATCGATTAATTCTCCTGCAACTGGAAGAATACCCTCAACTTTTACAACACCCACTGGCAACATTTCCTCGTCTGAAGCGGTGGTTGAGATTGATATGGAGGATACCACGCCAATGTCTGAATCTACCACTCAAAATTCTACACATGCTTTCCCTGCTGGTTCAGCTGCCACTGCGAGTGTACCAGCCTTCAACATTACCTCTGGGGGCGGCGCTGCGCTTCCCCCTGGTCAATGCTGTTTCTATTGGGTTATCCAATCTCTGCAATCCGTCTACATCTGCCGTTTCTGCAACTGCTTCTTGGCCTACATCCAACACTTCAGCGCCTCCCTTGAAAGACATAAGGGGGGTGGCACCACCATCTGGATCTTCTGGAGTACCTCTGAGAGAAATAACGCCACGAAAATCACTCTTTGTCTCTCGTTTAATGCTTAAAGCCACTACCGTA